TTACAAATTAGTAGCTAACTGTATAGATTGGTCTGAAATCTCAATTATTAATTTTACTACCATTTTTATTATTCCACATGAACAAGCATACATCTTTATACTTAATGGAAAAATGGAGAATCAATAATTCATCTCTGAATTTTGGCTCAGGTTCTCAGTAAACTGAAAACTTCAAATATTAGCTTTTCCTTCAATAAATTGTAAAAATAATTGTTGAGATACTTCATGGAGCCAAGTTTACCTGACCAAAGCAACCAGCCTTTCCCACTTCTCCTTCCAGTATTCAAGAAACTGCATTTCAGGAGCCTTAAGATTATATCTGTCTTGTCCCAGTGAAACAAGTCTTTCACCGGCAGCCTCTCCAAAGGGCTGGCATTCAGAGCATTAGTTGGGTGATCCAATACTGAGACTGACAGATCAAAACCAAGATGTTCCCTGGGCAAGGGCAAGACAGTAAATGGCTGCAAATACAGTGCAAGGGGGGAAGGTTCAGGGATGTTGTGTTGGCAATGGAAATCAAGGAAGGAAACAGTGCAGTTGTAAAGGCAAAAGCTACAACATAATGGCAGGAAATGTACAAAAAGATGGAAAAATAAAAGGGGATGAAAGAGGGGTGATTGGAAATAGAATGATTGTCCATCTTATAGCTGATATTATAACTAGAGAAGTTTGGTGTAGTGGTTAAGGCTTCAAGCTAGCAACTAGGAGACTGTGAGTTCTAGTCCCACGTTAGGCATGAAAATCATCTGGGTGATTTTGGGCCAGTCACTCTCTCTCAGGGCTGTTGTTGGGAAAATAGGAGTAGAAAGGAGTATTAGGTATGTTTGCCACCTTGAGTTATTTATAAAAATAATAAAGGCAGATAAAAAAAATCTAAAAAGAATTCTTTGTCTATCTTTCTCTATGTAATTGGTACTTAGTGAAAAGCTCTGGGGAAATGGTTTGGAAACAAAACACTAGAAAAGTTTCCTCTGCAATTTGCAAGAGTTATAGATTGGAATGAATACTGAGATATTGATAAGAGTCCCAACCTATCTGCATTTAGAAGCTCAGCAAATCATCCAATGATTTGGTTAGTCATTGGATTTGAGGCCATCAGAGAATACCAAGACAATAAACTGGACTGGGAAGATGAAAACGTTCCTAGTGGGGGGAAGGGAGCATATTGGATGAAACAACCCACATACAGTATTTGCCCACAAAGTGTATGGATGTGTCCAAGTGGTGATCAGGAGCTGAAGTTTACTCAAGGCTTTCTTTTTTTTACTCTTGTGCTACAGTGGAGTTGCCCCAATTATGTTACACAGAAAATAGTAGAAAGATGTTACACTGAAGTAGGGCTCACCAACATTTTGGATTTGAAAGGAAATGGTATTTCAGAGTACACATGAATGTGCACCATAGCACTGGTTGGCAAATCTTTAAGCCATCAGTTTCAGTCCCAATAGTTCTACATATTCATTCAATAAGATTTGTAATCCATAGTCACTGGGACAGTGTACACAAAGATATGTAGACATTAAAACACAAGTTCAGATCAAATCAAACCATTCCTCATTAGAGACCGACAGCAATAAGTTAGGGCTGAAAGCATACCGAAGTTTTTTGGAAAGTTCCCAAAGTAGCTTTTCCTCTCAGATTCAAAGCCCCCCACAGCCCCAACCTCTGTTACCCTTAAGAATTACTGTCATTATTTATTTCAGGGCAAAATGGCTTTTGAAAATTCTTGAAAATCTGAGGTGTTTATATATGATATCCTGTGGTATAGCAATTCCATTGGGAATAACTTCAAAATTATATTTGAACGGTGTATGCTTACACTCCCAAGAACATTAGCATTTCAGTGAATTGGACTGGTCATGCTATCTTACCCCTGTGAAAAATAGATATGCATCTAGACTCTTTTTAATAGAATTTTGAAAGGAGAAGATAGAATTGAATGAGCAATGATGCCACATGGATAGAGCCAAACCAGGAATGTTGCAGAATGAGGATTATCTACCTTTTCTTAATAGTTCATATAGGGCTGTGTAGACCAGCTGTAATTGATTAATCCAAACTGATGGATTGGATACAAAACTTTCAAGGATATTTTTCAAATTGTTTTGAGGGGAAAAGAAAAAGACAGAAAATTAGAGAGAGAGGGACTGGAGGGAGGGAACATTAGTTTTGATTTGATTATGATTGACTGCAAATGAAATTTCAGAATTAACCCTTCATTTAGCCATAATTTTCTTTTAAATTTATTGGACTTCTTTTATGCCTCATTATGGTTTTGGTTTATTACTTGCCTAAAAACTAAAACTGAAAAGTTCCTGGGTACATGAAATAGATGGTCAAAGACCACTGCTTAAAATTATATAGATAAAACATTTTGACTCTACACTTCTAAACCTAAGGGCAAAAATAATTTAGAATATCCTGCACCTAGTCATCTTTTACTCCCATTGTCCTATTCCAAGTTCTGCCATAAGAAACTTGCTCTCCAACTAAAGTCTTCCAAAGATTAACATGGATGCAGGATTATGGAAAAACCAAGAAAAATACATGACTCCATTCTGGAATTATATTGAGATACAATAACCATATCATGTTAAAATTAAGCAGAAAAATGTAAAACTTGCATACCTTTTTAAACCAAAAATTAATGTCATATTAATAAAAAATAAAATAATAAAGTATAGTCAACACTGATACTGGGAATAATTATATTACATGAAATAATAATGTTTATTTATGTTCCATGCTATGTCACAAAGAATTAATTTATATATATTAATGTATGTATACACACACACACGTATGCATACATACATACACAGAAGGGTATAATTTACCATTGAGATTTAAGTGGCAATTCTGGGTAGATTTACTGAGGAATGATTCCTGGAGAAACAGATCATATTTAATTCCGAGAAAGCATGAACATTTAATTCACACACTGGACATGGAATTTAAAGATTTTTTTTTATTGAAATGACCCTAGAAAATGTATAGACAACT